TTATTATTCTGCATGTTAAATATTTGAAGTACTTTCTCAATGTATTCAGACTGAATCAACTCTAGCGTCCCCTCAGCCGTATCCTGACTGATCCGCATCCCAAGAATCTGTTTCGCTACACTCAGATCATTCATGGCAAACTCCTTTGCTAACTGATTCTTCAGCTTGTTTATCTCCTGCAAACACGGTCTTACAACTAACATGTCATCAACATACAACAATAACACAATATAGCTGGACTCGAACCTCTTAAAGTAACAACAATGATCTGAATTGCATCTGCTATAGTCATTACTCTGCATGAAGTTATTGAACTTCTTATACCACTGTCTTGGGGCCTGTTTCAATCCGTATAAACTCTTTTTGAGCCTACACACCATCTCTTCCTTTCCTTCCTCAATGAAGTCAACATGTTACTTCATGTAGATTTCTTCATCCAAGTCACCATGATGAAAGACAGTCTTCACATCTAACTATTCAAGGTAGAGATTTTTAGCAGCTACCAAGCTTAGCACTACCCTGATGGTTACCAAGCTTAGCACCACCCTGATGGTAGTGAGCTTCACAACGGGGAAAAATATCTCCGTATAACCCACTCCTTCTCGTTGTTAGAACCATTTTATGACTAATCTGGCCTTGTATATCTTCCTTCCATCACTCTCCTGCTTGACTCGGTAGACCCACTTATTGTGTAAGGCTTTCTTCTGTGCAGGTAGTGGGGCTAACTCTCATGTCTCATTAGAGTGGAGAGAATCTATCTCTTCTTGCATTGCATGCTCCCAGTACTGAGATTCACTCACTTGTATAGTCTCCTCATAGCATTCAGGTTCTCCGTTATCTGTCAAAAGTAGGTAGTCTAGTGATGAGAGATACATGAGATTCGGTTTGGGTACCCTGGATGACCTCCTAAGGTCCTCGCCCTAGGTAATCCGTTCTGCACCTGGAGTCTCCTCCGTTCTTCAGTCAGAATTGACATTGTCTTCCCCATCTGGAAGTTCCTCCAAATCCATGTACTCGGATGCGCTCGCTTCTGTAGTGTTGCTCCCACTACTTTGACCAGTCTTAGCATTGTCCTTGTCCTTGTACATCACCTCCTCATTGAATATGATGTCTCGGCTCCTAATGATTTTCCTATTCTTTTCATCCTAAAGACGATACCCGAATTCATTAATGTTGTACCCAATGAATGTGCACTTTAGTGACTTAGCTTCCAACTTGTCTCTGCCATGATCACTGATGTGGATATATACCACACAACCAAAGACTCTCAAGTGTGAGAGATTAACCTTCTTACCACTTCAAATCTCTTCCGGAATCCCAAAGTTCAATAGAACTGATAGTCCGTGATTTATCAGGTACGCTGTTGTATGCACCGCGTCCATCCAAATTTTTTTGGTAGACCTGCATGTAGACGCATGCTCCTCGCACACTCTGTCAGCGTTATGTTCATTCTTTTTGCTACGCCGTTCTATTGCGGCGTCCCTGGAGTAATCCTCTCCAAACGAATCCCGTTCAGAACACAGAACTTCTTGAACTCCTCCAGTTCATATTCTCCACCATTGTCTGATCTCAAACACTTCACTTTTAGGTCTATCTCATTCTCCACCATGGCTTTCCACTTCTTAAAGATGCTAAACACCTCTGGCTTGTGCTTCTTGAAGTATGCCCACACTTTCTTGAGTGATCGTCGATAAAGGTGACATAGTACGCCGAACAGCCAAGAGAAGACACGCTACCTTGACCCCATACATCTGTATGAACAATTTCTAGCTTGTGAACTTTAGGTGGTCTTCCACTCTTCAGAAAACTAACTCTCTTCTGCTTCCTAAAGATGTAGTCTTCACAAACACCACTTCCACCGAATAGATGCTGGTTAGCTTCCCTTCTGATGTAGCATCTTCATGCCCTTCTCACTCATGTGTCCCAGCCTATTGTGTTATAGATCTATACTCTCCTTGCATGCTGTAATTGAGAGGGTATCACTCGCATGTGAAGTTAGGTAGAGGGTACCGGTCTTGTTGCCATGGGTAACCACCATTGTACCATTGGAGATTTTTCACGAATCTCCAGTGAATGTTGTAATATAGCCTTCTACTCCAAGTTGGCCAACCGAAATAAAATTCCTCTTCAGTTCGGTACGTGTCTGACATTCTTTAGAGACCACTTGGAGCCCTTCAATTGAATTTGCACATCACCTCTTCCAATAACATTATAGGGTTCATTATCACCAAGTATATTTCCCAAAGTCCACTGCTACATAGTCCCGAGAGAGTTTTCTATTAGCAGTGACGTAGAAAGAGGCTCCCGAATCAATGACCCATGAATCAAAATCGCTATTCATAGCAAGAATCAATGCATCTTGCACAATATGAGCCTCCTGCTCATTTTTGTCCTTCTTTAGTGCTTTACAGGTAGAAGACATGTGATCCTCTTAGCCGCAGTTCTAACATTACCCTTTGATAGATCTCACCTTCGAGTTTGACCTCTTCTTCTTCGATTTTGATCGATTCTTGTTTTGGTTCCCTCTATTATGGCTTCTGCCTCTCTGCTCGAGAGTTAGGGTTGAATCTAAACCTTTTGATTCATTCGATTTTTTTCTAACCTCCTCGGATAGAATCATAGCTACCACCTCGTTCAGCTTCAACTTCTCCTTCCCCACCAAGTTGCTGATTGCGGTCATGTAACCTACCTAACTATCTAGCAACTACGATAGTATCAATATGGCATGCACTTCGTCATCAAACGCGATGTCGACTGAGATGAGTTGATCAACAATCGTGTTGAACTCACTGAAATACATTGTGAAGGAACATCCTTCTGCCATCTTGAGGTTGAATAGCATTTTGATGAGATGCACCTTATTTGTAGCTGACATTTGCTTGTACATTGTTGCGAGCGCTTCCATAAGCCCCATCGTCGTCTTCTCCTTTAATTTATTGTGTGCTACAGATTTTGCGAGGGCCAATCGGACCTGCCCCAGAGCTTTTCGATCCAATATTTCTCAGTCATCGCCGGATTTCTCTTTCTTCTTTCCTTTTGCTTTACCCATCAACAGACGATGAATATCCTTCTGGTACAGATAGTCCTCCATCTGTGATTTCCAATAGGCGAATTTGTCAAACTTCTCAATTTTAGATTTGCCTTCTTCTGTTATTTTCTTACATATACAGATCTGAACAAGGGCTCTGATACTAGTTGTTAGGGAATGCAAGCTACTAGACCACCTATCAAATATGAACCCTCGTGCAGAATTTGCCCTACCAGATCTTGTGTTAAGATAATAAAAAAAATTATAGTAAAATAAAAAATTTTAAGAAAAGAGAACACCGAGTTTTAACAAGGTTCGGCAACTTACCTACGTCCTCGGGAGCCACACAAATAATTTTCTTTATATTAAAGAAGATTACAAGCTTGCAAAGAGCAGATCTCAAACTTGAGATCTCTCAAAAGGGAAGCAACAGAAACTATCTGCTCTTCTTTCAAGGCGTGAGATTTTACAACTTGTAAAATCTCTTCTCAAAAACCAAATAAATCGCTACAGGAACTCTTCTCTTAGACCCCCCCCCCTTCTTAATTTCTCACCTCTTTAATGTTCAACCTCACCCACTCCTTAAATCCTCCCCAATTTACAACTTAGGGCGCTGGAGAAAAAAGGAGAGCAAAGAGAGGGAGAGGGAAAATCGCCCGCCCGCCGCCGCCGCTGGGTCTGTAGATCGCGAGGAGAGAGAGAAGAAGAAGCATGGGGCTAGAGCTCTCGAGATCTGGGTTTCCCTTTTATAGGGAAACCCTAGCCAGACTGTCGATAGGCTGTCGACAGTTGCGCTCAAAACTCGCCTACGACGTCACGAACTTGCCAACACTCGAGCTCGCCAGAAGCTCGTCGAGGACCTTGCCTGCAACGCTATTCGACCTCGCCTGCAGGGCCTCCGCTGGCCAGCAGCCCGCTCCGCTCGAGCTAGCCCGAAGGTCGCCTCCTGCAGCTCGACCTCGCCTGAAGTCATCGTCGAGGTTTGGATCTACACTCATTCTTCCAACAAAATTTGCTATAAAAATTTGCAAGATAGTTAATCTGATCCAAGTTAAAATTTAACAAATATACTGACAAGAATCTAATATGAAGTAATGAAACTGAGAAACTATTTCAAAAATTGTAAGTGTTCTATGTTTTTCTTTTTTCTCATTTCCATTAATGTTTTTATATCAAAATCACGTTTACGTATATCCAAATTGATATTTATCACTTGTAATTTTTTTTAATCAAAACCATATTTACTTGCATACATCTTCATAATTGATACTTTTTACTGTGAAAAACTAGAAATTCTCATTTTACCCTAACCTTATTCTCTCTCCTTTACTTCCTTCCCGAACCCTAACTCTAGCCTCCTCATCCTCCTCTTCTCCTCGCCTTCCCTCTCCCACCTCCCCACCTCTCCCCTTCCCCTCCCTCTCCTTCTCTGCCTTTCTCCCCGAGTTCCCACTCTTCCATTCCTCTCCAAGTGGGAAGTAGAATTAGGTTTAGAGTTTGGGTTTTGGGGGGAGGTAGTGGTCATGGGGTGGCGGTGGTGATTGAGGTGAGATTCTAGCTAGAGAGTATTAAGGAGAGAAGGAGAAGAGGATGAGGAGGAGGTTAGGGTTAGGATTAGAGTTAAGGTTTGGGGAGGAAGGAGATGAAGAAACAAGAAGATAGTGAAGACAACAATATGGACATTTTGTGGTGAACAGTAAAAAGTGTTGATGTATGCAAATAAAGATGATTTTGATAAAAAAAAAATTTAAAGTTATAAGTATCAATTTGGGTATAAGTAAATACGGTTTTAATATAGAAACCATTTACATTAATCAATAATAACATGCTAATTTTGTGGATAGCTTGAAATTCAAGGGCATTTGTAAAGCGCAACACAAGACCCCATAAACTTTTAATTTAGATTTAGACAATTGAAAAGTCCAACAACATATCTTGTTGACGTTTCTTCTTCTTTCGTCTCCCTCTCTCTCACGTTCGACACATTGCCTTCTCTTTGTACAAGGAAATGCAATGAGATACACAACACAAAAAGAGAACAATTTTCTTTTAAAAATAATTTCCCCCTTGTCAAAGCAAAGAACTTTTCTGAAGAAAGACAGACATATTTCAGGGAAAATAAAGAGAAGATAGAGAAAAACATAAAGTTGGGTTTGTTTCAGCAAAGAAATCTCTTCAAAACAACCCAAATTCTCTCTGCAATTCTGTGGGTATGTTCTCTCTCATTCTCTCTCTTGATGTCATTTCTTAAGTTTAGGTCTTTTGTTCACAACATTTGTTTGTTTTTTGCTACGTATAATGTACCCATTTGGATTAATGAGTTTAAAAGCTATGAATGGATATCTAATGGGTATCATTTTATAATTATTTCCTCAAATCAGCTAAAAATTGTCCTTTTTTGGATGTTTCTATTTTTAGAAATATTATGTTGCCTTAAGTAGAAAAAAGGTGCTTTGGAGAGTAAAACAGATACATTCATCTGAAGATTATGGTTATCTTCAGATTGATTGAATCCAATATCCTAGCTTTTAGCATGCATTTAGGTTTAGGGGATAAAACAAGTTTTGGAATTTTCACAAGCAGATTAAAGCAAAGGGCTAATGGGAAGCTTGTTCAGAGTAACAAACCTACCTTCAAATTTTTTGTTTTTTTTTTATGTTTATTAAATATTTGTTGCGTGCCTTTGCTTTGCTGTGCTAATCCTTTGTTTGCATCTGAGTATTCCAATTTTTTGTTCTAAAATATTCATTTATGCTGTTTGAATGTGAAGTCTATCATCTTTTTGATTATGTGAGCTATTCTTCGTTGGACTTGCAGCTTTTTACTTCTTGAAAATTTAGAAAGATGTGTTTTTTTTTTCTAAATTATAGAGTTGGATGGAATTATACAGTTGATTATAGCCTATAAACATCTTCATGTCTATGCCATAGCGAAAGTTATACACCCACTGAAAACGATAATGCAATAGAAATTACTTGAAGAAGTCATGACAAGTGAATCTATTTATTAATTAAGGAATTTAATCATACCCATCTTCTTGTTTGACATTGACGGAAGATCAAGTTGGTGAGCCGTGTGATGGGAAACCTTCCCGCACGGTTCGGAGAGCACTGAAGACGAATGAGAGGCTCACCACCACATCATTGCAAGGGGAGCTCGCTCGATTCGCGGATTGGTCCGACTCGTAATTCACTTCTGACTCCGTGTTCGATAGCCCGACCGTAGTGATGTTAATTGTGGTTACATTCATAAGTAGCTTGGTCCATCTTTATTCAATTTCATATATGTCTGAGGATCCGCATCGCACTCGATTAGATAACAACTTCGCCAAAAACATAAGTTACTGGGGTGTCATAATTAAGCTAATTGATGTTAGCCATTTGGAAGCCACGTGGAAGAGAAGATTAATGGTTGTGCTAAACGGCTTTGAAAGGAAATTAATCATACTGGTTGTTGCATTATTTAGAATCCTCAAGGATGAGGTCTGAATCTGAGACTCCTTATAATCTCAATCCCCTGTGGCATGATAGATAATTACTTTATCCAAAAGCTTGATTTGATGTGTTCTATGCTAACAGCGTACATGGAGCCAATCATATTAAGCTCTATTAAGTTTTAAGTTTTTATTTCACCTTGTGTTGATAATTTTGAATTGCATGCTTATCTACTTAAACTATATAAATACCAGAGGTGAAGGTGTCGGGAAACTTACCATATATGTATACTTTTATGTGTGCTAACAAACTCTCCATTTTGTTCCCGAAGGAAAATAAAACCTTTTGTGTAGTATGTATGTGCAACGGGAAATGGATACAGGAGAACATAATAGGCCAATTCACTGAAGTCTTGCAAAGTGTGATGAAGTTACATTTCGTATGTGTATCAGATATATATAACACGGGTTGCATGTGCAAATTATAGATAATAGCGGAGGTGTATATTACTCAACACCTTTCTTTGGAAAATTTCAAATGCCTTTTCTTTTACCAGAGGGGAGAAGAGAAAAGTGTTCGACATCCTAAAAAGTCTTACAGGGGGACGCATTTAATTATTTGTAGGTAATAGATGGAAGTAACTTACAGGAAGGTCACAATTACCTAACTAAAACAATATATACGTGTCGGTTTTCTACTGGATGTTATATTACGGATTATGGAAACATATTAGGCGTCCAGCTTATGAGTAATGTTCTCCAGTAAGTAGTATGTTTTACTTTCTCCCTTTAATTCAATGAATCGTTATCTGTATTATGCTGCTTATCCTATATAAAGAGGTAAATATTGAGTAGCAAAATGTCCAAAATAGTTTTCTTTCATCAGGCTAAAGTAAATGGTAAGCGCTGTCAACAATTTTTTCCCACTTTTCTAGTTTTTTTTTTCCCTTCCATCATCTTTATTCTGTGATTGCGTAAGCTTGACTATTTACTTTTAGTTACTGTTAGTTACCGTAAGGATTTCCAGACTATGTGATCCACTAATCTTAATGTGTGTAGTTGCCTGCAGATTTTTGGATTTTTATGATCCTAACTGTAATGAATTTGGAATTTCTGCTCTGAGATTCTCTTATCGAGTGAGAATAGAGAGAAATATATGAATCATGAGGTCCACGAGGAAGTCAGTGAATATTTAGTTTCAATATATGTGGGTCTTAAGATGATAGTTGCTCCTATATCTATGTGATGGTCAAATCTGTATCCAATATTCAAATCAGGTTGGTCTAGTTTCATCTAGTTTTTTCTGGGTCAAAGTAATTTGTATCTTGCTATTCTAATCATACATACGATGAAACCTTGTAGTAGTTGAAACCTGAAAGTGTTATTTGTTCTTGTTCCAATTAGAAGTTTGCCAAATATCACCACTGTTAAAAAGCCTCATTACATTATAAACAATCCATGTGAAAAGTATATGAGGCTTAACTTCCTTCAACTTGATCGACATTCTGTTTGGTTCCTTCTATTTAATGCCGAAAATAGTCAATTCATATTCCAGCATTTATTGTTATAGTTTTAAGGACTCAAATCGATGGGAAGTTTCTTTACAGTCCAATCTTTCTCTGTTATTAGAAGCTAACATAGCTAGGTAGTTGCGATTTAGTTCGTTCTTATGAATGCAACAATCTATATATGAAACCAGTTACACAAATAGATCAAGTCAAGTTTCTAAGTTCAATCTCTTTATTTTTTATGTTTATTTAGTTTATTTCAGACATATAGTAATGTGAAGGGATTTATTACTTTTTCGTGGTTAATCATGTACTAATTTGTCGCGACAGTTAAAAGGATAGTGCACTCAAAATTCCAACCCGATCTAAACCCTAACAGGGTATTAATCATCTCAATTTTGATAGGACTGATTATAAAGCATCAAAAAATTTTAAATTAGCCAAGTTAGTCAGGTTGTTTTATAAAATTTAATTGAATCCACGACATTGAGTTTCCCACAAATAGTAATAATTATTATACTTCCTATTCAGTAAATTTCAGAAACCTCCAAGAGTAATATTTCCTATCTTGAGCTTGGGCCTTATTTATTTTTTATCTACATCTTTAATTTGATTATGCTAAAAAAACTGTTAATGAGATTATTGGCAATTTGAGTTCTAATTAATGTAGAATTCTTCACAGGCTGGAATTTCTGAGGGATCAATGACTTTTCCCAGGACCATTGCTGGGTTCGGTTGGAGCACTGGCGATAATGATGATTCAAATTCAGGCAATATTCAGTATCGTAAAATAATAGTAGCAAATTTTCTACCACTTGTTCAGAGAAAACATGAAGAAAGCGGGAAATGGGATTTCAAATGGGATGAAGATTCTCTTCTATTACAGATGAAAGATGGAGTTTCTACCGATGCTGAAGTCATATATGTAGGTAGACTAAAAGTTGATATAGATCACAACGAGCAGGACGAAATTGCTCGAAATTTATTCAATGTTTTTAAGTGCATTCCAACTTTTCTTCCTTCTGATCTCCAAAGGAAATTCTATCATGGCTTCTGTAAGCAACAATTATGGCCTCTTTTTCACTCCATGCTTCCTGTGTTCCACAACCAATATGAACTCATTGACCCGTCTCTTTTCAGTGCGTATATTTCCGCAAATAATATTTTTGCAGACAAAGTAGTCGAAGCCATAAGATCTGAAAATGACTGTGTCTGGGTTCATGATTATCATCTCATGCTTCTTCCCACTTTCTTAAGAAAGAAGGCGAAGAATGTGAAGCTTGGGTTTTTTCTCCATAGCCCTTTCCCCTCCTCCGAGATTTACAAAACTTTACCTCAGAGGGAAGATATTCTCAAGGGGTTGCTTAATGCTGATCTGATTGGTTTCCATACTTTTGAGTATGCTCGGCATTTCCTTTCTTGTTGTAGCAGGATGCTAGGCTTCAACTATGAATGCAATCGGGGTTATCTTGAGCTCGAGTATTTTGGTAGAACAGTAAGCATCAAGGTTCTTTCTATCGGTGTTCATATTGGCAGGATACAGTTGGTGTTGAATCTTCCTATAACTATATCCAAGGTTCAAGAGATTGAGCAGAAGTTCAAGGGGAAGAAGTTGATCTTAGGCGTAGATGACCTGGACATATTTAAAGGTATTAGTCTTAAATTAGAAGGATTTGAGCTTTTCCTAGAGAGAAATCCTGCTCTAAGAGGACAAATAGTCCTAGTTCAAATTATAAATCCCGCTAGGAGCACGGGGAAAAATTATACAGAAGCAAGGATAGAAGCTATGAAAACTGCTGAAAGGATCAATATCACTTATGGAAATGAAGACTACAAACCTCTAATTCTTGTTGACAAGGCTCTTCAGTCCTTTGAAAAATTTGCTTACTATGTTGTGGCAGATTGTTGCATTGTGAATGCTTTTAGGGATGGCATGAATTTAGTCCCATATGAGTATGTTGTTTGCCGTCAGGGAACTGAAACAATGGATAGATGTCGGGGAATTAAGCTCGGATCTCGTCGAAGCAGTCCACTCATTGTTTCAGAGTTTATAGGTTGTTCACCATCTCTTAGTGGAGCTCTCAGGGTCAATCCTTGGAATGTTGAAGAAATTCAAGAAGCTTTACATCGGTCAATCTTCATGCCCAAATCTCAGAAGCAACTGCGACATCACAGGCATTATAATTATGTAAGTTCTCATGATATAGCTTACTGGTCGAATAGCTTTATACAGGATCTTGAGAGAGCTTGCAAAAATCACAAAGCTCGAACTTGTTGGCCACTTGGACTCGGACTGAATTTCAGAATTCTTGCCCTTGATCATAGTTTTCAAAGATTGTGCATTGATCATGTTCTATTATCCTATCAACGAGCAAATAGGAGGGCGATATTTTTGGACTATGATGGTACTCTTGTGCCTAACAACTCGACTAGTAAAGATCCAAGTACAAACCTCATATCCATTCTCAATAGGTTGTGTTCTGATTCAAAGAATACTGTGCTTATTGTCAGTGGAAGAGACCGAAGTTCTCTTGGCGAGTGGTTTTCTTCGTGTGAAGCAATTGGAATTGCTGCAGAGCATGGATTTTTTATCAGGTACTCTAATGGCAAACTTTGACTGTGATTAGTTTTATTTTTGGTGAATTGCGTCATTCAGTTAACCCCCAAAAAGTTTGAAAATTTCAGTTAACCCCATTAGCTTTAGAAAATCCAGAAAACCCGTGTGGCGTTTCATAAAGTAGGGTGAAAAATATTTGGGTTTTTTTACCAAACCACCGTGAAAATTTTAGTTTTTGAAAAACCACCATGATATTATGCGTCATTAACAAAGTGCCACCAAGTCACAGTTTCATTCGAACTTTGTTAAATTATAATATAAATTGACGTAACTATGATTGACTTTTGGAGGAGACGAATGGGGGTAATTTGGAGAGAAGTACATTTTTTTGAGGGATTTAATTTGCTTTTGGAGGGAATTAAGGTGTTTTGTTGGTATGAGAAAATATAATATAAGGATTAGGTGGGTCCCACCGTGAGGATATTTTAGGAATTTAACATATTATTTAATAGAATATGGGTGGAAATTATTACTTGGTGGGACTTCGTTAAAAGTGCATATAATCATGGTGGTTCAATGAAAATTTAAAATTTTGCGGTGGCTTTGCATAAAAGAACCCAATATATGAAGAGGACATGTTTAGAAAGTAGGGGTATCCTGGCCCTTCTGAGAGTACGTGATTTGCACGTGATACATCAGATATAACTGACAGTGTTAGTTGTGGGGGTTGTCTGACAAATTTTATTGGAGTTTACCCTTTTCATTTCAAATGAATTTTACTAATTCTTTCTCTCTCTTCTTTTCTTCTTCTTTAGGTGGAACAAAGCATCTGAGTGGGAGTCAAGTTCAGTTTCCGTCGATTTTGAATGGAAGGAAATTGCTGAACCTGTAATGAAATTGTATACTGAAGCAACAGATGGTTCTTATATTGAATCAAAAGAGAGTGCAATAGTATGGCATCATCAGTACGCCGATTCGTATTTCGGTCCTTTTCAAGCCAACGAATTATTGGATCACCTTGAAAGTGTCCTTGCCGATGAGCCGGTGTCTGTTAAGAAGGGTGAGCACATTGTGGAGGTTAAACCTCAGGTATGTAATCTCTCCAATTCTGATTTATGTTGCGAAAATGACTTGACGCTGGTGCTCTGGTTTTATTTATCGGAAAATAAATGGAATACAGTTGCATAATTTTGTTAAGGGTTAATTGCAGATTGACCCTCTGTACTATCGTTTCCTGAACCTACTACCCTTCTAATTTTATTCTTGCAGAAAGACCCCTGAGTTGTTGTTGTTGGTATTATACTCTTTTACCCTGAGAGAGAAAACTGTCTTCTGCAAATAGATACCCTGAGGACAAAAGAGTGGCAAATTTTCATTCAGGGGGTCTTTCTGTAAAGATAAAACTGGAGGGCTAGTAAGTTCAAAACGGCGATACTAAGCATACAGGGAGTCAGCAAAGGCATGGTTGTGGAAAAGCTTCTTCGGCGTTTGGTCACTGATCAAAAGACACCTGATTTTGTTTTGTGCATCGGTGATGATAAATCGGACGAAGATATGTTTGAAAGCATTAATGAATGTACAACCTCCGCCGACATGTTCACTGCAACCCCTGAGGTATTTGCTTGCACAATCGGCCAGAAACCAAGCAAGGCGAAGTATTTTGTTGAAGAAACTAGCGACGTAGATTTGTTGGAAGGCTGGAGATTTGCTCGCTGAACGCCCCCTTAATAAAGCGTTGCACCTGCAACAATTCTAGTTGTTCTCATAGTTTGGTGGGACAGTGTAGTGTGCTTTTTGACTGAACTGAGTACAACTGATCGTGTTTTGTGTCTAGTTGAAGCTGCTGATGTAATTGTCATGTTTTTACGGTGGGTCGATGAGGTGATATGTGCATGTGAAAACATTCAGAAATCAATGAAAATTTACCCATATATGAAGATAAGTGTGTGCATCTGGGCTTACAAGAACAATTACCGACAGTTGACCTTGGGGGACTGATTTAGGGGACCTAATAGCAACTTCAATGACTTGAGGGACCAAATCAAGATGTTGAAGATTTAAGTGACTAATATTAAAGAAGAAGAAAGAACCCCTTACTCCTAGCTACACCGCAACAGTTTAAAATTTATAAGAATCAGCAAGGGCTCAGTCTTAATTCCCTCTGATCTAATAATAAGCTCAAGATAACTTACTGAAGTTCCAAGTGATGACATTTGCTACATACAAAATAGAGCATGCAAGTAGGGGGAAAATATCCCCTCAGTCTTCACGCCACAACAAAACTTCACACATGCTCGAGTGTGAAATGATAGGAGGAAAAGGGCACAAAGCAGCGGAGAGGAATATATTCTCCCAGAAAAAGAGAAGAGATGAGACATATTGCTCTTGGATCATATGATATCAAAAAATAATGATAATATTTTAGCAAAAAGTGGTGTTTTTTTTTGCAGTTTTAGGATGAATTATTTAAATTCTTTCTTGTTCATTCTCTCTATAGCCTGTCTCCTTAATTTGTTAATGTTGTATTTGATATGAGTAAGGAAATAGGATAGTAATTGTACTAAATTTGGTACCTCTTTGGTACAACATGACTAAAGTTTATCTAGAGAAAAAGAACTTAAATTTCTCTAGAAAAAAGGTGTAGAAATTCAAAATATGTAAATGATTTATTTATTTGTGTACTACTTTTAAGTAAAAAGAGAAATGATATTAATTTGCTTATTTTACTGATACCATTTGCAAGAAAGCTGATATTTGAAATCATTTATATAATTTTCAACATAATAAATATTTCTATACTACATTTAAACATTTTTGGTTTTCTTTGGTATCAGTCCACCAAATCTTTCATATTTTGCAATTAGTCCTCCAAATCTTTCATATTTTGAATTAGTCCCTCAAATCTTCATATTTTGAAATTAGTCCCTCAAATATATTAAGTGTTTTGAAACTAATCTCCCAAATCTTCACATTTTGGAATTACTCCCTCAAACTTTGTTAATGTTTCGAAATCAGTCCATCAAATTAGTTGAAGTTTTAGGAGTATTCCCCCTAAATCGAACAGCTAGTAATTAGAGGGCCTAATTTTAAATAATTATAAGATTGGGGGACAACTTCAAGTTTCAATAACTTGAGAGGCTAATATCAAATTATTAAAGATGTGGGAGACTACTCCCAAAATAACCCCACATTTTATACTTTATATTATTGGATAAAATATGATAATAAGA